CAGCGTCTTATGCTAGTGAATATCGTATATCGACCTTCCTTTGAAAAAACTTTAAATAAAAAATAATTTTCAAAATCTTCAAAAATTAATTAAAAAGATTGAGCAAAAAGCTCCTAGAAATCAATAATAAACATTTCAATTTCATTCAGGCATTTCGACTCTGTGTCTAAATTTTCTTAAATCGCATCGCATTCATGGATAATCTAATCAATGTACGGTCCGCATAATTTTTGTCGAAACTACTTAAAGTGTGAGACCATTACCAGAGACGGAAGAGAACGTTCACGGGTGTAAAAAGTTCAAACGAGAAACGGGCTCATCGGCTGATACTTAACTGATCGCTTGGTTCTCACGCGACATCATTTGCACAAATGTACGCACATATAGGGCCGAAGTACGTGCCCATGTAAACGAGTGTTGTAAAGACACGATGATTATGCGGCGCGAGCGAGATCGAAGCAGAGCGTAGTCGTTGTTGCCGCAGAATAGCGTTGTTTGCGCCAAGGTATACGGCTCTTTAGATTTTTACGGTTATACGCGTACGTGTTACGGAGCCGATGATCAAATTTCCTCTGCAACGCATTGCATACGCTAACATTCGCACACAGGGATCTCACTGAATTGAGGAGCAATGCATTAATGATGTTTCCAATCGTTAAAAAAACGCGTTTTTTCGCAAATTCAAAAAATATTGAATATTAAATCATATTTTTAGCAGGAAAAATTCCAATTCAATGTATGTTATAGTGTTATTATACTTCGTAAAACTGAATATAATAAAGGTAAATTAAATAAAACCTTCATTCAGAATAAAGTCTAATATTAGATAATCAAACTTCCTCTGCAACGCATTGCATACGCTAACACTCGCACACAGGGATTTCACTGAATTGAAAAGCAATGCATTAATGATGTTTTCAATCGTCAAAACGCGTTTTTTCGCACATTCAATTAAAGCATTGAATTAAAGTATTAAACATCAAATCATATTTTTAGCAAAGAAAATCCTAATTCAATGTATATTATATTATTATTATACTTTGTAAAACTGGATATAATAAAGTTAAATTAATAAAGCGAAATTAAATAAAAGCTTCAGAATAATAAAGTCTAAGAATTACAGCACAGAAAAAACCTGTCTAACTGCAAAAAATTTCAGCGTCATATTGGTGACAGAAAATTGAGCAATCGGAACATGAAACTCAGAATAGAAAATTCAACTATTTTCGTGTTGTGCACGAACAAACGAGTCCATTAAAAGTCACTGGAAAGAACTCTCAACAGCACAGGCATACTATGGCGAGCTATGACACGGACTGGTTTCGAAGTGGCTTCCTGCTCGAGTAGTTGATACACATGCATACGTTCTATTGATCCACGTGGCAATTCCGAGGCACGGATTAGCCGGTGCCATTGACGAAAGTTTATCGCGCATGTAGTTGAAAGTGTATATGTATGTTACAATATATTGCCCAGAGTTGATACTATCTCAATTAATTTCCTATTTATAAATTAATAATGTTGACGGTTTAAATAATTGCTTGTCAATAGAAAAAATTACCGAACGACACAAAGATATTTGAAATAAAGTTTAGGAAATAAATTCTTGTTAATAATCTTATTGTGTTCATGTAAAAAGAAATTAACTACATCTATTCTAAATATTAATGAGCAATTATCTTTTTATAATTTTCAGAGATATTTTCACACAAATAAGCTAAACTAAATATACCTGCATATTCCTGTTTTATAATATTGTTGTTTGTTCGAGCGCGCAATAAACGCGCCGAACGAATCGCCGAATCCGTTCCGTGAGAACGCGAGATAATTGCGAGTGGCTTCGTTCAGCCCTTTAACTATGAGACGACCGGGGTTTCAGTTAAACGCGGACTCGATCGCTTGTTAGGAAGTTGAGTGGAAGGCCCAAAAGACAGCAATTGATTTACAATGCATATAAACTTTATTCGATATAACAAAACAAATCTGACGAAACGCGAGATGTACAGAAAAATTAGTGCGAATGCACTCGGCGCGCTGCGACTTGTAATATGCGTAGATTTGAAAATGCGATTTACATAGAGTGCGCACCGAAAAGCGGTAAGAACGATAAACTGTATCGCGAATGCACGTGTCGCGGTGTGACGGAGTTGCGAAACGCGGTCTAACGTTCGATGCCTACAGAGACGCGGTAGATATATACGGCAGGAAGCGAAGCACCGGGGTCACGACAGCGAGAGGGCTCGCAACGAGACCGAGCGTGCTCGACCCCGCGGAATCGTGATCGTCGGTTGGGCAGGCTGGAGTTCGGGGACACCTGAGAGTACTCAGTCGAGACTCGGAGCACCGGACCTCGTTTTATGTGTCGCCCTAGGAAGTTGGATAGGGTAGGCTTCGTCGAAGGCAGCAGAAGGCCGGAGATAAGACGAAGTGTCGGCTCCTGTCGGAGCGCCGGCTTATATACCGCGGCGCGGCGGGTTCGTTGGAAGGGAGGCCGGCGGTCGGGCGAGCCGCGTGGGGATGCAGACGCGCGCTCGCCTTCGGCGCGGCTCGGCTTTTTCCGGCGGTTCCGAACTTATCGAGCATTTCGCGTGAGAAGCAAACGAAACGTATATTGCAGTACATATAACGGTTTAAGATATAAATTTTACATTAATAAATTGGGGGAATCCCCAACATTGTTCAAAATATGAATTTGATTTTACGTGCTTTTCATCACGTGGAAATACGATCCTATGCGCAGCTCGTATAAATAATAGATATTCTCTGTATTACAAAATAATGAAAATTTTGTGGAAGGATCTTTATTTGCCTATTATGTGTTTCAACAATAATGAGAATTTTACAAGCATATAAATTCAGATATCACGAATAAGAGTTGGTTATAAACCGCGAGTCTGCGATAACCTAAATCGAATCGTAAAGATCGTACCAAGAGTATCCATCGTCGTGAAAAATAGAAATGGAAATGTATGTAAAGTTATTGACTACGTTAAGTGAATTTGACGAAATCGGATCTCATAAATGCATTTTTGTACGCTGTGCAAGGTTATATGTGGGAAGGCATAGAAGAGTCGTTTCAAATATTGTATCCACAAAATGTTAAGAAAGCCTTCTCAACTTTGTATAAATGTATCGTTAACAATATTATATAATATTATAAGTGTATAAATTATCTTCACAACGACTTTTGATGCGTAAAGTACAGAGGAACAAACGAGGGAACAAACTACGATAGTATTTCAAAAGATATGAATTCCGCATTGAATTATTGAAGATGTCCTTTTCATCGATCGGGTAAGATACACAATTTCACGTGTTATAAAGCATGGATCGCTTCGAGGCGTTGTGATTTACGATATGGTGAGTGAAAATAATGAGGGCAGTCTGAGGGCTATTTTCCTGCATCAATATTAGACGAAGATATAGGGTGCTAATACTGTACTAACATATCCAATTGTTATAATGTTTGCACAACGCACATAACATGTGCCGTTGCTCGGACAAACATAATAGCGTTCGCTCGATTAACGTTTTGTGGTAGTTCAGTTTAAAAAAGTCATACAACTTGCGATATTAATGCGCTTTACAGGGAATTGGAAAAATACCACAGAATATTTGTTAAGAGAAAAAGAAGTGGCAAATTTACTCAATTGATTTTAGAATTCTAAGGGTCGTACGTAAAAACAACCAAACTAATGTTATCTACTTAAAGTTACATTAAATTTCGTTGTAGATTCCAAATTATTTTGTAATATTTTTGTCAAAACAAAGTAGGAGTTTTATTTCGCAATACTAACGCAATTGCTTTGTTGAAAATGAGTTCTGGAATATTTTATTTTTTCCAAAATAAGTGTAAAAAAAATTTCTCAAACAAGAGGAAAAGATACAAAATATATTCTTTCCAATGTTGTAATATGACAATGTTTCAAGTCTTACAGGTTTTATTTCTCTTATAAAAATAATAACTATAATAAGAACTTCGCGATTTCTCTATGTGGAAAAAGAATCAGTTGTAGGAATCATATTGAGAAATTCCCGCGAGATGTACCTCATGGGTAAAATTGATCTTGTCTCTTAAATTTTCTCGATACGTCGGCCAAGGGACAAGTAATATGTTTTTAAGGGCAAAGCAAGACAGACAATGGGTCTCTACGGTGAGAGTATCCGATAGCGGCAGTCGAGACGGATAATAATGTGTATGCTACTTTAATAACGACGAGAAGCAAGCAAGCCAGTTATTCTTGGCTGGTTTATACATGCCGTCAACACGATAAATTTTGCTTACGGTAGCACCTTACGTCGCGTATAGTGTCGACTAAAAGGACTCTCAGAGTATTCAAGATACCTCGGAGTATTGTCTATTTAAGTGCCATGATTTTGCTCTTGCGATAAACCAAGCTCTTTGTCCCGACTTAACGTAGTTAGCGTTATGTCCCTCACAAACGTTTTCATTCGCGGTCAATTATTTAATGTATCCATCTAAAAAAATCTAACGTCGCGTAACTCAACGTACTTTGTTGTTTTATTAACAATCGTACTCGTTACTGTGTAAGCATTATTTAGCAATAGCGCGTTGCGATTGTATCGCTCGTATTTTCAAAACTGAAATAAATTAATATTTTAGACTTATGTCAGAGAGAAACGGGCTATGAACCATTTAAACATTTTACAGCCTTCTGTAACTGTGCGGAAGCGTAGCGAGTTTTCAGGAATAAATCATTTTTGACATGTAGGAAACCGTGAGATTAACGAGCGTGAGAGATGTTTTTTAACTTCAGTGAAATTTCTTACAGACGTGTGCGATGCGGCATCGTTTCATTACACCGGAGAATTTTCTGCGCCGCAAGTTTCAGTTCAAATTACTATTTCTTACGCTGACGTTGATTACGGAAATGCAAATAAAACTGCATGACTAGGTTTACCAAAAATAAAACGTATGTAGAAAATACGAAATTTAATAAGAGAGCATGCAAAAAACACGCAAATGTAATAATACTCACCCTTCTTCGATGCGTGGAAGGAATCATCTTTCGACACGTACTGGATGTCGTACTCCAACGTGGTCTTCGGCAGTATAATTTTGTCCTTGTTGATCTTGTAAACGGCGTACTTGAAGGCCAGCTCCGTGCTGCTATCCTTTTGGTCATGAGTGAATATAGCACCTAGAAAGTAAGCACGACTATGATCGCGTTAATCCTTTAAAGTGGAACACCATTCCGTTCCATAGTGATAATACTCTCAAACGATCAAAGTTCGTCCATCTATGCTAATAAACTGCAAGCTCCGAGCGAGGCTGTGTGAATCTCGTATAACGGAGATTACGTATAGTTTTAATACTATAAGTGTGTTTATTCGACTCGCATACTAAATAATTTCTCTATGATACTATCTATATTTTGTCGTGTAAATATTTTATTCGTGCCAATTGGCAAGATTTAACATAATATCTATCTTCTCAAATTCAGTTAAAACGTTAAATTTATTTAATGTTATTATAATCACAATGTATAAGTATTGTGTCTCTTACTTTGAGGGAACTGGGCTGATTTACTACTAATACGAGCTATGACAAACTTTCTTTATTCTGAGCGTACGTTACGATACATTACAGCTGCGGTCCACTTGGCGCTATAAATGCTTTGAAGCATTCTTCTTCTCCTTCTTCATTGAAAGAAAGGAGAAGAGGAATGGTTCGAAGCATTTGTAATGTCAAGTAGACCGCAGCCTACAATGCATGAACGTTACCGATACCGACGGAACTGTTACTGTCACCAGCGGAAAGATGCACGAACGGTGGAAAGACTGACTCTGATTGCTGAGAAAATGTATGTGTGTGCGACTGTATCTGTGTATGGCGGTAGGTTCAAAATATACCAATAAGAAAGATAATTCAATATCGATTCAATTATATTTAGTAAAACAATTGTAGTTAATTGGTACACGGAAAAAAAAGGTTTTGCTGCAACAGCAAATCTATTTGTTAAATATAGGACAACCAACATTTTTTTGCTGCGAGAGCTAATTAATTTTGCAATAATAGCAAAGTTTAGCAAAATTGTTTGCTATTGCAGCAAAAAGTTTTGCTATTATTGCAAAATTAATTAGCTCTTGCAGTAAAAAATGTTAGTTGTCCGTATAGTAGCAAATCCTTTTTTTCCGTATATAAAAAAATTTATTTTCAATATTATTAACTACGTGCTTTTTGATCGCTTTTCGATTGTTTCGACTATACAATCACATATTGTTAATTCTTATAACAGAGATTAATTTGATTCGTGGAGTTCAATGTATAATACTGACCACTGATTACTACACTAAGAGAAAAATCCAGGTCTAAATGATTCGGAATAATTAAAAAGTCGATCAATTATTAATGATATCCGGCTATCATTGATTGGACATTATTCTAATGTTGATCGGCTTTTCATAATTCCGATTAAAAATATCGAATTATCCATTTGTTAATTTTTGAACGAATTGTCCATTTCTCTGAGTGTATAGGATCACATACAAATAATTCGTGGAATAACGTCGTATTATACACGTACACACGTATATATGCTATGTATCTCTAACAATCATTAGATAATACACTATGCAATATATATTACATGCATATACCTATACATAGACGTTACATCATCATATCAAATAATACATTTGATATGGTATTAATATTTATTATATAGACAAAGAACATAATACCTCTGTTATGGTAAACATTAAAATATATCAAATTTAAAATTTTTATTTTTATCCTAAACATTGAGATCACCGCACATTACAGATAAACGAGCAAAGTTCATCGTCAATCGTCGACGTGACATTGAACGCAAAAAAACGAAACCGTGTCGCAATTAAAAAAATATGTCTATACGTTGAGAATCACTATCGTTGCACGATATGCCGACGTGCTCTTGAATGAAAGGTGCATTCTAATAACACCTATTCATGAGACTGACACTGATTACATAGCCGCCAGGCTATCAATAGTGCGTCAAAAGTCGCCTTTCTGCGGAATTTTTCAAAGATGTCACGTTTGAAAGTCTTGCGAACATACTTTCAATTCATCGAACAATCGCATAGAGTGACTCTAGGCACACATCGTTCTCATTATTGACAACTAGTCCGTTCTTTAAAGGAAGGAATATTTAAGGACGTTGCGCATTGAAGTCCTCTTCCTTTCGGTATTCAAACTCTCATCGCAAAATGCCCCCGGGTCGTTTACGGAAATTAACGAGCATCCTTTGGCGCGATAAAAAGCGGCAGGACGCATTCCTGACCTAGTACTAGAGGCGATTTTATAGTTGAACCATGTGAGCGATAGTTAAAAGTGATAACCCAGCGTTGCCGATTAGCATTTGGCTTCATGAATGGCTATTTCTGATCAAAGTCATGCCGGACCGACTAGCACCGTATTATCCGTTCGCGCTCGTGTAGAACGCTTAAAAAATTTAGTTTGATAATATTGTTTACAGCTTGGCTGATAATGAAGCGACATATCAGTGCACGATAAAATTAATAATGTATCAATGCGTGTAATACCTATCATGTTTTATATGTCTACATAAACGCTAATTTCGGCAAATTTTACATCTTTACATCAATTAATATCCCGAAATATTGAATATACTATAGTAACTTAATAAACGTTATTATAATATTATTATAGTCAAAATATAGAAAAGACACATTTTTTGAAATTTATGATAGGTCTTAAAAAACCATTTTATATGCACGGTTCTTTTATTTAAAAGCTAAACTAGTCAAATATTAGTTGGTTAAAGTATAATATATTAGTTGTGTGTAGATATTATAAGATATTATCACATAGATATTTATCGTGTAATACTGCAAAAATATTATACCTTTTCCAATCAAATACTTTTTTTCATTAAATTAGACGTTGGAAAAATGTTGAAATTAACCATTCTATCCGGAGATAAAAGAAGACGGTTTGTTCAATCGAGCAACAGGATGAATGGATACATCGTAAGCGGTAACGAGCGCCCTTAGTATTTACGTCTCGCCAAATCACCGGTTCCTCCACGCTCCCCGTTTTTCATCAGAAAACCTTAACCCTTCGTGATGGTATTCTCACAGCCCGACGCGCTCTTTTACTTTTCGCGTTCCGCGTCGTAACTAACTAATCCATTTATCTGTAACGGAGTGGATGCGCATTAGCCGCCTTCCATCTCTCATCCCGCAAGTATTGTTCGCTACCAGTGTAGCTCACTGCCATTCTTTTCTCCGTTTTCGCTGTAACACGTTAAGCACTCTGATCCTCCCGGAAACGCGCTCGCGACGACTTCTTTCGGTATTTTCTTACGCGATCTCATTGACTACGGGCTGTACTCGACCATTAGCTGCGTTTAAATAAGGAATAGATAATCCCTAAAATCCCTAAATATGTTTGCTGTTGTTTTTAGCAGCTACTCCAACACGTTCGCTTGTTTCAGTTAAAATACAAATAAGGCGAGTAATTATTATAAATGGTACTAGCAGATAATTCGCGTTTAATTATTTCAGGTATTAATTGTTTGTAAAAAGTATTCTAGCGGGGAAAGAAGACCTTGATTATACAAGTGTATATTGATACATAAAAATTAATTAAAAATACAATGGCGACCTGTATTCTAATTAAGTTTGTATTTTCAAATATAGGACTTGATTTTGCGTTGTTTGCTCACCAAATAAGTATGTCGATAAAAATAAAATGTAAGTATATAAAAGAAAAGTTATATAGACACAAAAAAATAAAAAACCGTGTATGTACGGCTTAATACGGGAAAAATGTAGGTATCTCTCGCGTTTGAGCCGCATAATTTCGAACGAATTTCTCTGAAATTATTTCAGTCCTAATTTTCACAAAGCGCTGTACTATTTTCCAAAGATTCTCTTGCAGCTATTTACTATCCTTAAATCCCTGGAAAGCATTTTTGAAAAACGGCCGGAGATTACCAGTGGAACAGCTTGGTGCTCAGCGAAACGCTACGCTTCGCTTCGCGTCACCGTGATATTCAGGCTTCCGTGTATTGTTACGATGGGAGCACCGGCAAAAAATATCAGCTTGAATGCATTATACATTATCAAAGACGTATTATGAGCTTCCTGGACCGTAACATTAATAATACGAATACTTTGAAGAAAATAATATAGCCCCAAAAAGAAACGGAAGAAACATTATATTTATTATTTAGTATAACAATGTTTTGTTTACGCGTTTATCTCTCTACTTCGAATTTATCGCTCGTTAACATTATTTGCGCTATATCTTCCGCTTGACGTTGGACTGTATTCCTACATTATATATCCATGACCAATTTGCATATATAGGTCTTGGTCAATCTCGTGGGATCTGTGGCAGAATTACAGAGAATCCGACAAGTTAATATTGCTAATTCCTCGTAAATCATAACAGGTTTCCATTAGGAAGCGCGGGTTGAATGCATAAAGTTCCCAGTATATATCTACATTTTCCGAGAAACAAGACAATACGAATGTTTTCTGTTAAATATTGATAATATAGTGCGACGATACGACCGAACAATCTCTCTAGAGATCTGTAAGAGCTGCAATCTTCCGGTATGGCTTTACAAAAGAAAGAGACAGATCGTGTATTTGAGAGAAGAAAGAAAGCGACTGATAATACATCGTGTAATTAATTTTTATCGATTTACAATCGTTTTACGACGCGTAAAATAGAATGCGTCACATGATTTCTTTATAACGTATATTGTACATTATTATCTATATTTTATTTGTGTTGAAGAAATAGAGAAGACATTATATATACATAATTTCTCTAAAAATAATTTATAATCGTAGACGCTATTTGAGTTTCCTCATTTCCTCTTTTGAGTCTCATAGGCCTCCAGTATGATAATTCAACAACGGTAACACGGCGATACTGCTAACGAGGATCTTGAAGGCTGCTCGTTATAACGCCTTGTGATTACGTGCGTGAGATTAAAGGAAGAACGGTGTAAAGGTGAACAATTCTAGAAACTTTGACACAAGAAATTTACCCGTGCCACAGTTCTGCACTGACGTGTCTGAAAATACGATTTGACACAGCTCGCACACGTATTAAGGTTTCTCCCGCTAAACTTTAGTCATACAACTCGGATCCAACGCGTATCCTTAGGGATCAACGAAAAGA